TTGTTAAAATTCTTCAAAATCCTTTGGATCTGATTCTAGAGGTTCAACCTCTAGCTATTCATACGGAATCGGTAGATCAAGACTTACTTTTGCAGCCGCCAAAGCTTTAAGTCAGCCATGCTTGAAGCCTCAGTTTTTGAACTTCAGTGCTTCGTCAACATATAATCCTTTGGCTTGAAGTTCGTTGGCATCAAAAGCTTTGGTTGTATCTACCTCCGCTTTCTCTTAGGCCTTCTTTGCTTCTTGCAACTCGGCCATCAATCTCAGATTCTCTACCTTGGCCAACTCCAACTCATTGTCCATGCTGGCAACCCTCTCTTCGGGGCTCCTGGCTTTCTCTTCTTTCGGGTGCAGCCTTCTTCTACTCCTCCTCTACCCTCTTTGCTTTGGCCTCCGCCTTATCCGTCACCATCTTCAAATCAGCGATCGCAGTGACAACCTTGTTTCTTTCATCTTGAAGTTGGACTTCGATCACATCGAGTCTCTCTACGACATCATAGTGACGACGGTCGATCTCCACTATCCTGCCTGCTGCCTAAACAAGTAAGACAGCAACCACATTAAACATAAAATTAAACATAAAAAGGGCAAAACAAATTCATCCCAGTGCACTTACCAGTATAGCCGACTGCACCGCCAAAGCAATAGAGACGACGTCCGGCTCAGCACAGAACGCGACCCTATCTGATGAAAGTGAAAGTGCCAATGCCACACTGAGGGCTACAGTGGGATCTTTAATGGTCGACCCGCTGGATAGAACCGGCGCATTTTTTGTCCTTGGCTGGATGACGAATGGCTCAGCTGAATCCAGAGAAAATGACTCTAGCCTTTGTCGTTTGTCAACCGATTCTTCTGGCGATTCGGTAATATATTCGGCGGGGCGCTTTTCACCCCTTTGATCGACTTGACCAGAGCCCAAAGTCTCCATCGGCTGACGAGCGGGGACTTTATCAGCCACTATCAATTCTTGAGTTGCTACGACGGCCACCGGAGGGGGAGTTTCTAAGTTCCCTCCACCACTGGCTCTCCTGCGTACTGCCATCTTCTCTGCATTTCTTCTTCTGGCAAATTGGATAAGTGACTCACCGCCCATTTCTTTAGAGTCGGCTCTAGAAAAATCTCCTAATTCGGAAAAAATGTCCTCTGGAGAAGCAATCTCCACTCGGCCTGAAATAGAGGTTTGGCCGCTGTCCCTTTGCTTGAGTTGCTCAAAAGCCAACTCAACTTCTCTATTCAACTTTTCTTCTTCCAAACGGATCCCCTGTCTAGCTTCCACGTTTGAACTCTACTCTTCTAAACGGCCCTCTGGTTCAGCCTCTTCGACTCTCGGACCTTCAAGACCGATGTCCTTTGAGCTCTTAAAGTTGGGAAATATAAGCGTCGTAAGATACTACTCTTCCCTTGGCACAGGAATATGATATGTCGCTGAAAAGGTTGCATAGGTTGGCTCGTATCTCAACAGAATGTGTGTCACGTGTCCTTGTCCTTGCAGATTGGCCAGCCTTTTGTATCTAAGGGTCGTCTTTAACTAATTAAGAATGGCTTGGCCCGCCGACGGAAGAACTCTCTTTAAGTCGTTACCTACAAAAAACAAACTAGTTTAGTAATCTTTAGGAGCCAAATATAACACCTAAACTAAAATCTTAGCCACCTGGCTCGCCCTTTCATCTCGGCACAAGGTCTTGGCGAACTTCTCCTTCACCGAATTCCTAGTTGCCTCGAACGACAACCATGACGTCGTCGACTCTTTTTCCAGAGCTAGCGAGCATAATCACCAAATGGTGATCTATGTCCTTGGCTCTAAGAAAATAACGGCCCTGACGACCAGTTGACTTCGCCAGGACATGGCAATGCCGAATCGCTGGAATTGCCAAGTTAAGCCCTAGTCGGCAGTTCAATTCTACCAAACCCATGATTATACGAAAAAAATTCACATTGGGTTGAGAGGGAAAGGGTACAAGGGAAAATGAACCCCACCCTTAGCAATTGACAATAGAGGGAAGATTATAGTGTTTGCATCAGCCCTCTTATGCCTTTGCCCTTGTGTTTCCCATCTTTTCATTAAATTTTTTTGAGCTTTTTACCACTAATTTAAAGAGGTTTTCAGCGGCTAAAAAATTAGTTTTGAAGTCCCAAAAATGAAGGGGCTAGCCACCCCTCCTTTAGCTTGTTTACTAGCTTGATTTCTCCATTATTTTAGCTTACTCTTTTAGCTTTTTGTACATTAATTTCAGCACTATTTTTAGGTGTTTTAGGACTATTTTAGGTTGTTTATTTCTTTTATGCATTGCATAGCATGTTTGTAGTGTAATGGTCCTCATAGGTTTGGTGTTTTAGGCATTAGATACCAATTTATTTGAGTTGATAGCATTTATTTCATGCATTTCATGCTTTTCATACTTGTGTTCATGTCTAATCACCTCTGCACCTCCCCTCTTTTCTTGTCTTTTTCTCTTTGTTTTGAGAGTTGCTTCAAAATTAGTGTTGTTTAAGATTGAGAGGTGACCTTGTGCTTAATGGTTTAATCTCTTCGGAGGTTCATTACCAACGGTATGATCTCCCTCTCATGCCTAAAACAACCCTTGATTTGACACTCCTCTCCATTAGTGGACTTAATCTTCATTTTTGGACTCAATTGATTAAGGAATGAAAAGGTAATTAAAAGATGTATTAAAATTGGAATAAAATGAAGCAAGATAATAAAATGGTTTGGGTTCAATCGGACATTAATTGAACCCAATGAATCTTGAGTCGTTTCATACTTGTTAATGACGAAAACGGTTCAAGAGTCGATGCCAATCACTTCCCTTGATCAATATCATGATAGGGAGGAGGTTCGTGGGTCTTTCATTGTGCATTTATTGAAATTGTATCCCTTGGTTCATAAGTCATCACACAATGAATTTGCGCCAACTGATGGCTTACGAATTGAGCCTACCACTCCTTTGATCTGTCTGATGATAAGGAGAGACAGGGTGGACAAACATCCCCTGATAATGCTCTGTTTGTGCTCTGTTTGTTTTCTGTTGTAGCAGGAGAAACCCAACATTAGTGGCCGGCATGCCACCTTTACCATACAGCAGACCACTATTAGTAGGCAGCTAGCCACTGCTTCTGGCTTGCTGGCCACCTTTTTCAGCCAAGCAATACCACTTTTTTTACAGGGCAGAGCAGAGGCTGAAGTGCAAAACAGTGTAGAGGCATTCTTGGGGGAAGAAATTCATGTGCATGCATAAGCCATTTCCTTGCTCCTTGAGACCCGTTAGATTTGTTTTTGTTAATAGTAGTATGTTGTCAGTGAACTTGTAATTAATTACTTAGTTAATTAATTCTGTAATTTAACTAATTAGTTAGTTTAGTTAGTTAGAGTGTGTTGTAATTATTTAATTAACTAGAATAGTTAGTTAAATTCGTTGTTGTAGTAATTAGTTAAGTAACTTAGCTAATTCATTTATTCGGACCCTTCTGTGCGAGGGCAAATATGTAATAATGCATGTATGTCTTGCAACCTCACGTCTTTCTCCCTTTTATTTACCCACTTATGATGGATAGTTTAGAGCATCACATTTTGTTTAGCATTTTCCTTGATTTGCATCCATGTGTCTTGCATGCATATGGCTTGGTGCATCATTCTAACTCACATTATTATTTATTCCTTATTTGAAAATGTGCTCAAACCATATGCTATCAAATCGATTCACATGCTATGTTAGTAGCCGAGCCTATTAATTTTATATTACATGTGTTGCATTAGTCATTATAGTTAAAGCATGCATTTTTCTAACTCTTTTCCCTTGGCTTGCCTTGGAGTACTAGGTGAGCATTTTTTGCTTTAACATATCGCATGTATGTGATTGTTGCCATGTCAAAGCATGATACCATGGGGCTAAGTGCTTAAGTAATATACCTGTTTGGATGCCTATGGATGAAGAATAATTGCTTGAACTGTGATAATTTGAGTAATGTATTTATGAGATCACTTTTTCAAGTGGTATATATTCGAAATAATTTTCAAACAAACATGAAATCAATGTTCCAACTTTTGCAAGGTAGTCTATACTTGTGTGCACCATTTAATAAAATTAGCCTAATAATCGAAACAAAAGCATATAATGTAAAGCACGAGTCTCAGGTTTCTTAAATTTTCTAAAAATATTTCGGTGGCGACTCTGTATCTGGCAAAGTAGTTAATTTTTGGCATTTTGATTCAAAATTGATTTTCAAAAAGAATTGTTGGATTTGGACTCATTTGTGTTTGTCTATTTTACATTGCACTTGTGAAATCAGATTTAGAATCACGGGAGTCTGAACTGTAGGGCTATCGTATCTGAAAGGAGCACGAAAAGCAAGCCATAGTTTTCGGTGACTCTGTTGGGGATTTAGAAAACTTGACTCAAACTTCATGATGTGAAATTTTATCTACACTTATATGTTCTTTTGCATTGCATTTGCATTCGTGCGCTTAAGTCACTGTGTTTTCCATCTGTTATTCATGGACGGTTTGCCGGAGGCTTGCCTAAAAACTTGCCAACAGGCTGACCGGTCGTGGGCTCTGCCATGTTGGGAACACAACCCTTGGATCTGGACTACCACTGTACCGCTTGATCCAACTTTCACTTCTCGATGTTAGGTGAAAGAGGTATATTAGGTAATCTTGCTAAGGTACCCTTTTGGACCAACTGGCCTAGTGCATATAGGACGCTCTAGTGACCTTTCAAAACTAGGGCATGCTCTTGCTTTACATATGTAATATTTTTTATATTTATATAAATTATTTTCATTGTATTGCATCTTTTTGTAAAAATAAACGACAAATATATTTTTAAAAATAAATCATCTAATTTTTTATATGATAAAATAAAAATATTACGATTATTGAGTTAAATTTTTTTTTTTTATGAATAATATACATTGGAAATCCTACGATTTGAATCATCAAAATAACATGCGTGATAGGCTCCACAAATTTTTTTATATTAAAATATGAATATTGAAGAATATCAACCCATTAATATCTCATATAATATAAAAACGCATAAAAGTCTACCAAGACAACTACCAATACCAAACTTGGCTACGTAAAAATTTTGTTTTGGAGAATCACGTGTGAATGACGATGGTGTACCGACGGCCCACCCAATCGGAGGTTCTGCCGGCGGCGTAGCATCCGAGGAAGAGTAGAGGCTCATGATGCCCATTAGTACTTCCAGCTGAACGTCGGAGATTTTGAGGTCGTCCTTGATGAAGAGTCCTGCGCCACTCATCACCCCACCATCTGCACATCATCATCACCCGTAAATATCTTTAGCTTTCTTCCCATAATTTTCCCGGGAAAAAGAAAAAGAAAAAGAAAAGCATTTAGAGTATGTTTGAATGATAAAACTTACCATAACCGAGTAAGATGGAAGTCGTGGAAGCTAAAATGGCACAGGCAAAAGCATACTTGTTTCGTTTTGGTTTCTGCGGTGGATCTAAAGCTGGAATATGTGTTTGGGTTTGGCCGGAAAAGCCATTGTTCTGAGGCTTCCGGTCAGCCATCTTTGAGAGAGAGAGAGAGAGAGACATGAGAGCTAGCTTCAAATGGGCATGAACAGGAGAGAGCTACGTAAAGGTATGTTGATGGAGGATGGATTGAAGTGACTTTCTTCTCTTGTTGTGGCCGTACAGCAAGAGCAGTGCAGTACTTAAATAGAGTGAGGCTTACCCCGTTCGGGATGATGATTGGAGACCACAAGGTCTATTTGACGAGGAGTTAGAGTATTATCAAGTGCATTAGATTTTTTTTTATTAGTTTATAATATAAAAATTATAAAAGCACATTACATGAAACTTAATTATTGGTTAGTGTAGATATTGATTTCTGATCTTACAACCAAATAGAAAATTTAGCTTGAGAGTACATGACAGAATAGATTAAACCAAGTACTTTCCAACAAGAAAACAAGAATACCGCAGTGGCTCGTCCACCCGAGTGCATTCCAACGATCAAGTCATTTAATTTTATCTCTCAAATATATCAAATTAGTAAAAACATACATTAGACTCACGGGGTGTGTACACACCCCATTTTTGACTGGTTTTAAGGGTTGGGCGCCTCAGGTTGATCACTCAATGATGACAATTATGTTGTACAAACGTTAGATTTCTTCAGTAAAAAGAGCTTCTCAAACCCAACCTTACACCCCAATTTTGACCAAAACTGCTTTAGACCTTAAAATCCCCTTTTTTTAAATATTTTTCTAAATGTTTCTACAATGTTCCGAGGCTCACATTTCATTTAAAATATTGCACTTTTAGGTAAACTGAGTAAGGACAAAGTGGAAATAAATGAAAGGAATGTGAACTCTTTTAAAATCTTTAAAGCATCTTATTTATAGGTTTGGAGTTGAAGAAAATAGAAGGAAGGGAAGAAAACTAGTTGGGAAAAAATTTGGGCATCAATCCATTGAAAAAGAAATGAGCAACCTTCACTAAAATAGGCATATCTCTTTGCACACTTAGAATTTAGATGTGAGGCCACCGCCATTGAAAAGTCGACTTCCGGGGCTTCAATATAGACTGAAGAATGACCTAAATCCGAGTTCGGATGAAGGAGATATGCTCATTTGAAGTCGGGCTTGGAAGTAAATTTTTGTCTGGCCTGCCGCCCCCTTTTAGTGGCTTAACAGCCACTTGTGTCAAAAAATAGATTTTTGCAGATATTTGTTACCAACTATTCCCACAGGTGCATGCACTGCACCAGCTGTCTATATACAGATATTTCCGACCTAAGGCACATATTTTCTATACATAGATGACCATCCCTCTTGAAATTAGGTTAGAAAAAAATTCCAAAGACTCCAAAACTTGCATAGCACACACTCTCTCTCTATCTTGGAACCTACACACTCTCTCTACACTTCCTAAACCAAAAATTTAGCTCTTCTTGCTAAGGTTCTTGAGCTCAAATCTCAGCCCTTAAGAGTGAGAACTTGTGGGTTTGTTAACAAAAGAGTTACTTTGCTTCAAAAGGTATAATTTTGAGCATCTCTACACTACTACTTCCTTCTTTTTTCTTGTTGTTTTTGTACTATTTTTCACCTGTATTTATGAGCTGAAACTTGTGGTTTAAGGCCATTAAAGGTAGAGGGTTTTACTACCCTTCTTCAAATCTTGTTTCCTAAGCCTTTGCCCTTGTGTTTCCCATCTTTTTATCAAATTTTTTTGAGCTTTTTACCACTAATTTAAAGAGGTTTTTAGAGGCTAAAAAATTGGTTTTGAAGTCCCAAAAAAGAATGGGCTAGCCACCTCTCCTTTGGCTTGTTTACTAGCTTGATTTCTCCATTATTTTAGCTTACTCTATTAGCTTTTTGTACATTAATTTCAGCACTATTTTTAGGTGTTTTAGGACTATTTTAGGTTGTTTATTTCTTTTATGCATTGCATAGCATGTTTGTAGTATAATGGTCCTCATAGGTTTGGTGTTTTAGGCATTAGATACCAACCTATTTGAGTTGATAGCATTTATTAGATGCTTTTCATACTTGTGTTCACCTCTAATCACCTCTGCACTTCCCCTCTTTTCTTGTCTTTTTCTCTTTGTTTTGAGAGTTGCCTCAAAATGAGTGTTGTTTAAGATTGAGAGGTGACCTTGTGCTTAATGGTTTAATCTCTTCGGAGGTTCATTACCAACGGTATGATCTCCCTCTCATGCCTAAAACAACCCTTGATTTGACACTCCTCTCCATTAGTGAACTTAATCTTCATTTTTGGACTCAATTGATTAAGGAATGAAAAGGTAATTAAAAGATGTATTAAAATTGGAATAAAATGAAGCAAGATAATAAAATGGTTTGGGTTCAATCGGACATTAATTGAACCCAATGAATCTTGAGTCGTTTCATACTTGTTAATGATGAAAATAGTTCAAGAGTCGATGCCAATCACTTCCCTTGATCAATATCATGATAGGGAGGAGGTTCGTGGGTCTTTCATTGTGCATTTATTGAAATTGTATCCCTTGGTTCATAAGTCATCACACAATGAATTTGCGCCAACTGATGGCTTACGAATTGAGCCTACCACTCCTTTGATCTGTCTGATGATAAGGAGAGACAGGGTGGACAAACATCCCCTGATAATGCTCTGTTTGTGCTCTGTTTGTTTTCTGTTGTAGCAGGAGAAACCCAACATTAGTGGCCGGCATGCCACCTTTACCATACAGCAGACCACTATTAGTAGGCAGCTAGCCACTGCTTCTGGCTTGCTGGCCACCTTTTTCAGCCAAGCAATACCACTTTTTTTACAGGGCAGAGCAGAGGCTGAAGTGCAAAACAGTGTAGAGGCATTCTTGGGGGAAGAAATTCATGTGCATGCATAAGCCATTTCCTTGCTCCTTGAGACCCGTTAGATTTGTTTTTGTTAATAGTAGTATGTTGTCAGTGAACTTGTAATTAATTACTTAGTTAATTAATTCTGTAATTTAACTAATTAGTTAGTTTAGTTAGTTAGAGTGTGTTGTAATTATTTAATTAACTAGAATAGTTAGTTAAATTCGTTGTTGTAGTAATTAGTTAAGTAACTTAGCTAATTCATTTATTCGGACCCTTCTGTGCGAGGGCAAATATGTAATAATGCATGTATGTCTTGCAACCTCACGTCTTTCTCCCTTTTATTTACCCACTTATGATGGATAGTTTAGAGCATCACATTTTGTTTAGCATTTTCCTTGATTTGCATCCATGTGTCTTGCATGCATATGGCTTGGTGCATCATTCTAACTCACATTATTATTTATTCCTTATTTGAAAATGTGCTCAAACCATATGCTATCAAATCGATTCACATGCTATGTTAGTAGCCGAGCCTATTTAAGTTGCATATTGTATGTGTTGCACTAGTCATTTGCATAGTTAGGGGCATGCATGTTTTCTAACTCTTTTGTTTATTTTGGCTTGCCTTGGAGTACGAGGTGAGCACTTATTGCTTTAGCATATCCACATGCGTGTGATTGTTCCCATGATACGCGTAAATACCATGAGGCTAAGTGCTTAAATGATATATCTGCTTGAATGCCTGTGGATGAAGGTTAGTTGTTTGAATTGGAATGATTTGAGTAATGTATATATGATATCACTTTTTCAAGTGGTACATATTCGAAACAATTTCGAAACAAAACATGAAATCCAATGTTCCAATTATTGCAAATATTAGTCTATACCTTATGTGCACATCATTTAGTAAGTTAGCCTAATAATCGGGACAAGAGCATATAATGTAAATAAAAATCATATCATGATTAGTAGAGAGCACGAGTCTCAGGTTTCCTAAATTTTCTAAAAATATTTAGGTGGCGACTCTGTATCTGGAAAAGTAGTCAATATTTGGCATTTTGATTCAAAATTGATTTTCTTAGAGAATTGTCAGATTTGGACTCATTTGTGTTTATCTATTTTACATTGCACTTGTGAAATTAGATTTAGAACCACGGGAGTCTAAACTGTAGGGCTATCATATCCGAAAGGAGCATGAAAAGCAAGCCATAGTTTTTGGTGACTCTGTTAGGGATTTAGAAAACTTGACTCAAACTTCATGATGTGAAATTTTATCTACACTTATATGTTCTTTTGCATTGCGTTTGCATTCGTGCGCTTAAGTCACTGTGTTTGCCATCTGTTATTCATGGACGGTTTGCCGGAAGCTTGCCTAAAAACTTGCCAACAGGCTGACCGGTCGTGGGCTCTGCCATGTTGGGAACACAACCCTTGGATCTGGACTACCACTGTACCGCTTGATCCAACTTTCACTTCTCGATGTTAGGTGAAAGAGGTATATTAGGTAATCTTGCTAAGGTACCCTTTTGGACCAACTGGCCTAGTGCATATAGGACGCTCTAGTGACCTTTCAAAACTAGGGCATGCTCTTGCTTTTTTTTAGGATGTTGTGATACCGTTTGTTTGAATAGGAAAGCTTAGATCACTCCAAAGCTAGGACAGGGAAACCCTAACCTCTCGTAGGGGTGTTTTGAATGCTTTTGTGCAAAATGTGCAATCTTTGGAAATGTATGATGCAATCCTAAAAGAGTCTTAATCTTGAGGCGATTCCTTTCAAACTTGAGGGTCATATCAGAATCAAAATTCGGGTCAAAATCCAGGCGTTGTGTTTGATATAGGTGAATTTTCAGTAAAACCAGAACCAGGGCCAAAAAATTTGTATCTTTGCTTTGCTTTGACTGGCATACCCGATATTCTGACCTGATGAGGCATTTGTTTTTAATGCTAGGTCTGTCTGAGCCAGAGAAGGAGCAATACCTGCCTTAACCCATCACAATCCATCCAAAAAAAAAAAAAAAAAAACTCACTCAGCAAAGGCCTAATCCATCTGATCTCCAAAGGCCAACTAAGAAAAGATCCATTCACTATCGAAAGACCCATTCTAAAAAGCCCAATCCAGTCGAACCCGTCTAGACTTATCTAGTTCAGATACATCAAGTATAACTAGGTCGAAACCCTTGTTACTCAGCTCTCAGCTTACACCCATTCATTTCCCCGATTGTCAACTCAGCAGACCCGTGATGGCACAGAGTCCAGAAAAAGTTGTGGCCATGATAACGACCATAAACCAGGGACTTTCCATACAGGATGAGACCAATACTAAAATGCAACGCCCATCTGGGACATCTATCACACATCCAGCTCAGGCCCCCAGCTGAACTTTGGCCCACCTCCACCAATTGAAGATTTGCAGGATCTAGATCCTCGAGAAGGGTTGGCTCAGGCTTGAGTTTTCAAACCCTTGGTGCAGCCTAATGAGGGGCTTTATCCCCTTGATATTAATGATCTTGACCCGACCTTGGTAAAAATTGCTAACCTTGAAAAGTAATCCAAAAAGGCACATGGATTTAACTCCATTCTCGACATTGAGGATGGGTATACCGAGGTTGCCGTAAGGCTCCCAAACAGATTCAAAATGCTACACATCAACCGTTTTGATGGGTTTAAAGATCCTATGGTACATATCTGGCTTTTCTTGGACGTTCAGAAACCAATGGGCTAACTAAGCCTCAGAAACTCTCTCTGTATGGAAGAACCCTACATAATAGCAACTTGGTACGCCAAGTTGGAAGATAAAGTGAAGCAGACTAGGAAGATTTGCCTGAGGCATTCGTCAATTAGTATTCTTACAATACCCAAATTGAAATGACCACCCAAGAACTTGAAGCAACCCACCAGAATCTTGAAGAACCTTTTTGTGGAATTTGTTACAAGTTGGAGAGTAAAGGCAACACAAATGACAGATCGGTCTTCTAAGAGGGACCAAGTGTGGATAATGGTGCAGAACCTTGAGCCTGATATGTTACAAAAGTTAATAGTCGTTCCACTGTTCACTTTCAAAAATTTGCATGAATTAGGGGTTTAGATTGAGAGTACATTTAATAGAGAGATTATTCCTAGAGCAAGCGAACCAACAAGGAGGATGTTTTCTAAAATAACCAATGCTAGCGGTAGCACTATTCCCAAACCCATTGAAATCAATACCGTCGCCACTCCCAAAATTGCCAACCCTTTTGCCAATGCCAACCCACAAACAGCCGGCTCAACCCGAGCTCAAGGAAGAACTTTCACCCCTCTCTATATGAGCTTAACCAGTGCACTAAAAGTCTTGATGGAAAGAGGGTATCTCAAACCCCTTGATCCTCAACCACTTCTTAACCCACTCCCTACTAGACATAACCCCACCAAATACTATGCATACCATCAACAGCGCAGTCATGGCACTGATCGTTGCTACCGCCTTCGTCATGAGATTCAGAATCTCATCGACTACTAGACGATAGCTCCATTCCAAGAGCCCAATGTTACTACCAACCCACTTCCCATCCACAACCAAGTACATCCTCCTCATCTTAACCTCATCCATACACTACCACCTACTTTTAACCCCAGCATATGCATCACCCTAGCCCATCTGCCCAAGCCAAAGGTGTTCATTGTTGAAAGTACCAATTTGCGCATGATGGATGCACCAAATTTGGTTTAGGTACGCCAAGAGCGCCAAATGACCGAACCCAATACTGTTGAAATGTTTGGAATGATTAAAGACCTTCAAGGAACGGTGGCCGATTTAACCTTCGGGGTTCCGACCCCGTCAAAGGATTCTCTAATCTTGGGACAAGCTAAAAGTGAAATGGGCCAGTCAAAAGCAAACAGGCCTTGCCCAGATATAGTTGTCCGACTCTGTGGCAAGGCTGAAACAAGTAACAAGAATTAGTCTAGGGTGACTATTGACCCTTGTGCACATCTCCGACGGGTTGTCGAAGTGCTGAAGACTAAAGGCCTGAACCAATGGCAAGTCCTTACAATTATTGAAAGGGTTGTAAATGAAACTTTTGCTACTCAACACACCAATGCTCAAATGGGGGTTACTCACAAGTTGGCTAACAAAGGAAGGCCAAACAATGAGAAGAGACGTTTTACCAGAAACACCCCTCATAAGTCTAGTCCCAAGCTCAGAAATACCCAGCCAACATCTACCAACCCATTTGCCAATGTTTCTAAACTTAGTGCTCCCTGCTCCCAAAACCGAACCTTCGCCCATCTCTATATGCGCCTAACCTATGAATTGGAGGTACTAATGGAGAAAGAGTATCTCAAACAGCTCAATCCTCGACCTCTCCCTAATCATCTCCCACATAAACACAACTCTACTTAATATTGCACATTCTATTAGTAGTACGGTCACCATACTGACCGTTGCTTTTGGCTTCGCCATGAAATTCAAGACTTGATTGACAATAAGGTCATCATCACACCTGAAAATCCTAAAGCTGTCAATAACCCTCTCCCTAACCACAATAGATTGCCACTCCATAACATGAAACCCACCCATGGCTTGCCCACAACCAACCATTACCCTAGCCAACACATCGTACCCATCAATGAGCCTAAACCCATTGTGTTCATTCTTAAATCTTCTGATTTCGATCCGAGTAAAAGGAACAAAATCTTTAAAGAGATAGAAAATTTACTCAATCTTGGTGAGTTTAAGCTTAATGCAGTACTGGGCCCTCTACAGATGCCAGCACTGATAGTTAGAATGATGAACCTTAGTCTTAGCTAGGGGACTTTTCAAAAGCACTTAAAAAAGACCTTCTCAACTAGGGGCATGGTGTGAAAAAGCAATTGTTTCGGTCAAGAAAATGGATTGGAACAACATAATTGTGAGGTTCAATCTGTGAGACCTAATTTGAAAGTCAGAAATCAATCATTCTGGGTATGGATGTTACTATTGTTGAATTGAAGGCAGGTCTGGACCTTCCCGTGGGCTACTTGAAGTTGTTTTTGAATTCTGCAAATGGACTTGGAAAGTGAAAACCCCTTTTGTTTCAAGGGTACTGATTTTGTTTTGAGTTGTGTCTTGTAAATAGTTGTTGTGAGTTTTGTTTTCTTTGTCTTTTCTTGCGTTGTTGCGTCAGTTGAGTCTTTTCCTTTGAGTCGCTCTCGTGTACCCTCAAGTCTTTATCGTTATAAGAAAGTGGGAGTTAAGTTTTTGATCATTTTGTTGTGCCTACAGGAATGCATGTGTGACCTTTTAAAAAATAGAAAAAGCTTTGAATTTGTTTTTTGAATGAGATTCTGTTAATAAGCTCGAGTGTTGAGAAGGATCCCCTAAATGGTTTGAGTGAATTCTGACTTATCGACACAAAGTCCTTCATGATTTCAGAATTTTAAGATATTTCTTTTGCAAACTTGCAAAGATAGGTTCAAAATTATGCGCAGTATATCTCTTTGATTCCACCATTGCCACCACTGTCGACAGTGGCTGAGTGCCGTTGCAAAGGGCAGCGATGCCTCTGTTGCAGCGACGAAGGCTTCCTGTTGTTCCTCTTCAGGCCAAACGATCCCTTCAAGTATTGCAAACTCTTAACTCAATGCTTCGTTGTTATCTCGGACAATGCACCTCATCTTTCAACTTTTTGTCCCGAATATCGTTGGTCTCGAGACGAGGTCTTTTTCCCTCTCTCTTTCTCCGTGTCTCGCTCTCTCTCTTTCTCTCTCAAAATATCTGATTTTTATTACGTGGAGTTTGTGTTCTAAGTAGTATTAAAAAATTCTCAATTGGAATGTTTACAACTACTTAGGGCCTTCCGAACCTGACTATTCATTATTCCGATAGTTGATTGGGAGGCTCGCAAGACTAGTTTTTCTTTTGATCATTGTCCAAGCTCTAGGCTTGGGAATCATCACAATTTTGAGAAGATTGGGGTTGATTTCCCTTAGGATAGTTTATCAAATGCTTTTGAAGATAAAGTTAGGGTTAGCGATGAGGTCAAGCATGAAAATGAGTTTTCTCAGTTAAAAATTGTTACTTCAATGGTATTTGAATTTGTGGAATTAGATCTGTAACTATGGGAGATCTGAAAAGATGATGAAAATGAACAGATAAAATGAAAATCTGTTCAAAATGAATAGATAATTTTATTTTATTTTTTTGTGTTGAACAAATAAGGATAAGAGAGAGAAAGAAAGAGAGAGAGAGAGAGAGAAGAGAGATTTGAATAGATAATAAAATGTGTTTAAAATTTGAACATATAAAAAAATTAAATAGATAGTTTGAAACAAATAAGTGAAAAAATTGAACAAATAATAAAATTTCAACAGATATTTGAACAGATAAGGGGAAATTTTTGAAGAGATGAGGAAAATTTTTGAACAGATAGGGAAATTTTTTGAAAAGATAGAAGAAAAAAAAATTGAATAGATAGTCAACAAAAATCAACAAATAAGAAAAAAGTGAATAGATAAATTAAGGGGTAAAATTGAAAATAAAATGTCCTCTAAAACTAACAAAAAGACTTCTCATCAAACTATTTTACAAATGGTGGATTTTTTACTAACAAAAAAATATCCACCGATCCTAATAAGATTAGATTTATCACTAATTTTCCCAATTAAATTTAATAAGCATGATGACTACCTATATACAATAGTGACCTTATCAAGCCTCTTTTTTTTTCCCCATATTTTATTGTTCTCTTTTATTTAAGAACATGAGAAAAAATCTTAAGATTCAAATATAAATTTAATATATATGAATTGTATTGTTGTGTGCTCTTATACTTATACCAAGAATATTAAAAAAATTATACATTATGCATGAAAGTAAATGTAATAAAAAATATTTTATACTTGATAAATACAAATAGTAAATCATTGTTGCTGTTAGACTCAAATTTTTAATACGGTTGTTTATTTAGAAGAAGAGCATATAGGTATTTTGTTTACTGCAGATGGTACAAACTATAGAAGCAACAAGTGTATATATAAGCTTATACAGCAAGCCATCTGATGCAAAGCATGTGAAAGCACTGCTCTACCAATCTAAAGGTCCAAGCAATTCGCAATACTTGGAATCTCTGTTGAAAGAGAAAAATAGGTGTTTTGCAGATTGTAAGTTTCAAACCGCGCAATTTTTGTATACAAAATTGCATGAGCTGAAAAAACAAACAAAAGAACAGGCTTGATCTTCACGCACCATAAATGGACTACCAACCTTCAGGTTTGGACTCATCACAAGTAACGCCCAAAGCAAAGAAGCAGGAAAAATAGGGCAAATTCTTGCGTTAGAATTCAAGAGACTTACTTTCTTCCATTCTTTTATATATAGATTATGGATTATACATCTATTGGCTTTTTTGGCTTTCGAAGGTTAGTATTGTAATTTTAAGCGTGCCAGTAAGGATCAATCAATCCTTACAGAAGATTAATTGCCAACCAATTATTAAACGATTGTATTTTAGTTTTTTCAGCCTCAATGAAGAGGACTTTTACTGGTGACTTATTTAGGAGAATTTAGTAAACAACAATTAAGTGAAGAAAATCATAGAATTTCGTTAAGTAAAAATGAAAAACTTATAATGATCTGACCCAACCTCGTAGAGGTTTACAGCAACAAGCTATTTGAAACTACTCCTATGAATAAAGTGCAATACAGGAATTTAAAGTACAGAAATGTAAAGAACTGTAAAAACTGGAAAGGAAAATAAATTAGATAAAACTGGTTTTTTGATCTGAGTCTGGATCCTCCTTTCTAGGGCCTTCTCTGCTACTTATACTTCTCAATGATAACCGTCGACATGTCCCTCCATGATCGCTGAACATGCTCCTCACAGTCAGTCCCACTACGCCATGTTTGCAATTAGGCTTCTTTCCTGATTTTGAATTTGAACCTTGTGAGTAACCGTTAGGCCGCATCACTTTATATCCCTTGATCATTCCAGTGCTACGCAGACCCATTATTACCAGTATGGGTTAACACGTGTCCGATTATGGTTGGCAATTTGTATTACCTCCCCAAATTGCCCTTTTCATGCCACATGTTGAATTGTGATTGGCTTATACAAATTATACAGCCAACATTACCCCCCGCACTAATATATCTAATACTTAGTGATATTAGTGGATCGAAACACTTTACCCATGTCCTTAGACGTGCATGGGTTTTGCATCTTCTTAGAACTGCAACCGACGTCCATCATTGCAGTGTTTGTACTGCATTAAATTCTCTTTTATGCCTCGAACATTTCCCACTATCTGAGCATTTGAAAAGGATGATACAGTTCTCATGGCCAAGCAAACCTTTTCTTACATAGATCAAGCATACGAAAAGTTATTAGACAATGATGTTCGTCTTGGAAAGAACTTTCATACATTTATTAGCCACACCTATCCACCTCAATTTATTCAAGTCATGGAAGCTTTTGCAAATCATTGACCTTTGGATCAAGAACCTATTGTTCACAATTCTTTAGACCAAGACTTTGCAACAATGGATATTGGAAGCTCTTCTTCTGCTACAAAACCTTCTGCGTGGGATGAGGCTGCTGCTTCCTATTTTTCTTCTAAAGCTTCTAGTTGGGT